TATGTATTTACATATCTCACACCTAAAATTTCATAATTAGATACATAAGACTAATGCTTTAATCCTACGCATTAAAAATATATAATTCGCTTTCAAAGTGGCAACGGTACCATGTTCGTGATTTAAAGATATCAGTGCTTTGTGTAGATATGAAAATTTAGATGTGAGCATTGTACATACATTAAGAATTATGTGCAATGTATGCATGTGCCCTTACAAAATTTAACATTATAACACCTGCAATGAAAAACTATGTTTCACTTTATTTTGATGTGATATGAAAAATTTGGGAGATTTCACTGTAAAAAGGCAAAATTTTGATGTCAGATAAATAAATACATGGGGATTTTGAGGTATGTATGTAAATGCCTCATTTTTTTTTTATCAACCCTACTATCGTGCAATCGTTTCATGCTAATCATAATAGCTAATACTAATTACGATAGCAAGTAAAAAATAAAGGCAAACATGGATTATACTCATTAAAACGTGATAAGGCCTGAGTCAAGCGTATAGCTCAGCTCAGCTCAAAGGTAGAGATTATTACTTCCGTCGTCTGGACGCCGAGCTGCGTTCACGTAATAATTTTTCGCTCAAACGAAGGCTTTTATATGGCTGACAAATAGTTGAAGCTAAGTTTGAGCCAAACTGCACCCATTCATAGTTCAATCATAACTTTATAAAAAGCTTTAATCAGACAGAATTTTCGTTAAGGACTCGGACGCATTAGTTAGCTAAAAATACAATAATAAACCACCCCCACATAACCAAGAAAAAGGGAACAATTTCACGTTCAAAAGATCATTAAAGCAAAATTTATTAAAAATCCACCAATTAAGAAAACAAAATTGGTCATAATTGATCTGCAGTTTGTAATGTATAATTGTAACCAAAATACAAACAGAAACTACGCACCATCACAACATTAAACAAACTAAAACTACTGATTGATAAGAACAAGTTTCAACATTTGCTGAATGAAAACTGATGAGATCAACAACACAACAATCCCAGATTTGAGCTTAGCACCCCATTAGTCGAACAAACTAAAGCCCATATCCTGCAAAGAAAACAAAACAAATTAATTTACAACATCAAACGATTTAGGCTAAAGGATGTTCCAACCCATTGAAACATAAATTACCTACTAAGTTTGTTAAATTAAAGGTAAATTAAAGGTAGAAACACAAATCAGTTAAACAAAATTGAGTGCTCAGAAATGAAAATAGTAATATGAAAATAAAGGAAAAATAAATGATAATTGGGAAAGTATTGCTGAATAGTTATGGCAGAAGTATAAACCACTGAAGCTAGTAGTTGGAACTGGATTTGATGCTTACAAATACATTCATAGACAAACAAAGATGATGTCTAAAAATAATTGATTAAAATAGATTTACACCACAAAGACTAAATTGGCAATATGTGGAGCATGAATGAGGTCAGGCTGTCAAAAAAGCTCCTCCTTTGCAAACAGCTAGTGTCCAGCTCGTTAAATAGTTTGCATTCTATCCGTTCATTAGGCAAGCGAGCCAAACACGAACAATTTTTGGAGCTCGATTTACAAATGAGCTAAACATGAACAAAGGCTTGTGTTCGGTTCGTATTGGTTTGAAAGAATGCTAATTTTATGATATTTAAATTTTAATTGGGTGGTATATTTATAAAGCATATAAGTTTAAGGGTTAGATATGCAAGTACATAGAATTTGGGTGGTAAAATAGGCCAAAAATAGGGCACCCAGGTCCGCATTTTGTGATTTAGGGGTTAAATATGTAAATACATAAGAGTTGGGTGGTATGTATTTAAATGTCCCTAGAAATATGAAAAAAAAATCCTGTTGGCAGCTCCCTGCTCCGTTGAGTCCACTCCCACCCTATCCCATATCTGTCCCACATCGGAAGCTTGAAAATTTTTTTTCTTCCAATTGCTGTTTAAATATGGAAATGATGTTCCCTTCCTTGAGAGCTTAAGATTCTTGACTAGAAAATAGTGGACAAGAGGCTCGAATTTAGCTTGAACCGAACAAGAACCATATTGAATAAAATCAAGCTGAACATGAACATGTTATTTTCAAGCCATTTGAAACACGAGCAGAACATGAACCAAAGAAAATTCCAAGTAACCGAACAAGCCTTCAACTTGCTCAAGTTCAGCCCATTCACAACCCTAAATGAGGCAAATGTATTGCATGAATAATGCAAGAAAGAGAATAGCAGTGTAGTTCCTTACATCATCTGATTCTTCCTTCTCTTCAACTTTTTCCTCCTTTTTAGTCTCTGCAGCAGCAGGAGCAGTGGTAGCAGCAGCTCCAACTCCTCCCGCAGGTGCAGCCACTGAAATACCACCACCGCCAGAAGGAACAGAAGCAAACTTCTCCCTTCCAGCAGCAATGAGCTCAGTTATGTCCTTGCCTTTAACTTGAGACAGTAACAAACCAATCCTCTCATCATCTGCATCGGCTCCAACTGTAATAACAAGAAAATTTCTTTTATGTTAAAGAAAGGAAGAAATATAAAGAAAAATAAATAAAATCTCCATGACACTGCAAATGTTTTCCTTAGAAATGGGTAATCAAAATGCATTAAAATGATTCTCCATTTCAGGGTATTCAACTATGCAACCTTGAATTTGGAAAGATAATTCACGCAAAGAAATTGTTTAAAAAATCTTTTTACACTTTCTAACAAAATGTTGTTAAACATTAGTAATTCAAAATAAAATATAAAAACAATATTATTTAAATTAATGCACTGCTGTGGATGAATAGGAAAAAAATATAAGAACTTCGACAGAAATCATTGAAAAATAAGAAAACATCTAAATTACTATAAAAAAAAGATCGAAAAAAAAAGGTTAATGAACAACTTATGGAAATTTAAATATGTGAATAAAAGAAACTAAGACTAAGTAAAATAATTACAGTACATCTCATTTTAAAGGGCACATCATATCTCAAGAAAACAGAAAAAAACTATTACCAAAGAAATGTCTAGCCAGTTAAGTATACTGCATACAGTTGAAGTAACATGTAACATGCTTCAAGTTTATGACCAAATAAAAAAAGAAAGATAAATACTCTTCATTTCCAATGATCAACACTAATTGAAATGAGACTGTGTTTAAAGAATGAATTCAAGCAGAGAACAATTGCAATTTACTGCATTAAATAAACAGAAAAATAATCAATAGAACACTAAAAGAAAACAAAAAAAAGGAACCTGATCCAAGGATATGCTTCAGATCATTGGCAGAAGGTTTGGAGTTGCCACCAAGGACAGCAAGCAAATAAGCAGCAATCACCTTCATTCTGAATAAAAGAAAATCAGAGGCTGTTTTGTGATTAAGAATTTAAGCTTAATTTATTTTAAGAATGCAATTTAAACTAAACACGTAGTATTGTTTGTGCTCAAAATCAGCTCATGTTCAAATTTGTTCGAAAATTTTGGTGCTCGTGTTCTGTTCAATTTGTTTGAATTTGGCTTGAGTTGTTTATTTTAGTTCGAAATTAACTAATTTTATGGTTCGTTCAAATAAGTTCAAAGTTGTTCTCTTTGCTCGAATTAAGCTCCATTTAGCTCAAAAATGCTTTAAAAAGTAAAGAAAATAAAAAAAAAACTTCAAAATTAGAAAAAAAATGTGATGAGCAATAGATACTATCAGACACAATTTGTTACGGGTATTGACATGTATAGATCGCAATAATAAAATGTGATGAGTTAAATAATCATAAGAAGTTCCGCACATTCTGATTTCTGAGAAAACAATATGTCTTTAAGAAGTTAGCCAATACTCTTTTCAATTATAATAGAATGGCAATCCATTATAAAGTTGCAGAAAACCCTATCTGCAAAAGATAATTATAAACCAAACCAGATCCACAGCCAAAAAAAAAACAGAGATTTAGAAATGCAATATGCAAAGAGCAAGTTAGCAACACTACATAAACTACTAACGGATCTAGATAATGCCCAGGAATGTAGTTTAGAATTAATACTCCGAAAAATAGGGACGCCAACGTAAGAGTGGGTCAAAAAGACCTTCACAAACATAGTAAAATCATAAATCACTGCTTTCAAGAGATGGGAAGTTCCAAGCCTTCTAGGTTGGAATCCACAATTCAGAAGATGAAAAAACGCAGTGATACATAGATCCAGATCTTGGAAGGAAAGGGAAGTAAAAACATCACATTTCGAAGAACCCTTGGTTGGTTGTAATCAACAAAACAATCGCAAGAACGAAAAAAAATGAAGAAATAATTCGTAAATAACCTTCTCAGTGTGATCGCAGGCTTCTTCGAAGCCGTTCTTCACCGAGTGTGATAAAGTAAACTCACCTTGGTCGAAGCCCTAGAAACGGAAAGAAAGCAGCAGCCTCGTTCCCTCGCGATGGCGACAAAACAGCCGGAAAGAAAAGAAAATGGGACGGCTTAGGGTTTGATATTTAGGGTTTATTAGTATATATAGTTATTTTCTTAATAGAATAAAATTTAGGATGGTTGATCTAATGGCTGAGATTAATTTCAATTTTTTTAAATAAAAAATTAGTTTTAATGCTTTAATATATTTTTTATCTTATATTTTCAATTAAATATAACAAAGTTTTAATATAAAATATTATAATTATATTATTTTTAATCATTTATTTATTTCAAGCCAATACGAGTCGAACATGATCAAACGAAGGACTGTTCGTGTTTGGTCGTATTTGACTCATTTATAAATCGAACTAGAAAGGCTTGTTTATGTTTGACTCGTTTGCTTAACGAATAAATCGAACACAAGCTATTTACCGAGTCAAACACGAACTGTTCACGAACAACGAGTTTTTTCACAACACTAATTTTAGGTATTACGTCGCCAATATGTCGATCATATCAATATAGTGCATTTATCATCCTGCTGCGATCCAAATGTTCAAGAAGAAAATTATGTCATATTCATTGGACTGATAATTTTTTTACTTTAAAGAGCTACAACTCGTAGGAATGAAGAAGTTAATGAATATTAACTTTTAGGAGAGTGAAAAGAGAATAAATTGAATAAAAAATAATTTTGTTAGAAGGTAATGTGTAAACGAGCTGATCCTGAGCAAGTCTGAGCATAGCTCATGTTCGGATCGTTAAAAAATGACGTTATTCTTGTTCGGCTTATTTATATATTGAACTCAAAAAAAATTGTTTGTGTTGAACTCATTAGCTTAGCAAGCCGAACATGAACTGTTCGCGAACCAACCGTTTTGGAAGCTCTGGTCACCTAGTTGTAGGTTATTAATGATAGAAACTAGTTTTAAATCTTATTATTTATATGCAAATATTAATTTAAATAAAATTTAATATATTTTTATTCTATTTTTAATTAATAAGTGTAATTGATTATAAATATGTGTAGACTTCTTGTCAAATAAGTTTAATTGATTATAATTGGGTCATCAAGATAATACCACCAAAGGTAAGATGAGCGACAGGGCTCAACAGGGGTAGTCAAAGGAAGGGAAGAATAATCCTTAGAGGGTAGAGTTAGTCAGGTCAGGGTACAAAGTATCTGTCATCTCAGGCTACTAGGACCCTGAGTCTACTTGATCGTGAATGTAGTCGACCCAACACGTCTAGAGATCTATGGTCAGCATTCCGTGAATTGCATCATCAATGGGAATATCGGTAGCCCTAAGATCAAAGGAATGAAACTCTTTCTTATGAACATTGGGTGGAGCTCCGAGGGGTGGGACTTATACTTGTCGTAGTGGTGAGGATGTCGTTGGAAAAGAAGAGAAAGAGAGGTTCAACTACAAAGCTGAAAACTTTCCAAATAAAAAAACTTACACCCCATATGAGTCAAGGAGCTTTCTAATGGCCAAAACAAACTAGACAACAACCTAAGTAGAAATCTATGTTGGGTTAGTCAGGTTGGAGAAATACCGGGACTTCTCCTCGGAACATGCAAATGATGCAATTATTTAGAGTGATCCTTCGATATTGTGGAGGCCCTAGTAGAATGACTTAGGTGATATCCATACTATGCAACCCGTTTTAAAACTGACCCAAATGTCATGCAAAAAAGTAAAAATAGATTTCAAGTTCTTAATCTTTTAATTCTAAATTTTAATTTATCTTAAAATTTTTATTAGGATTTTTGTATAAATTTTTATAATTTTAAGGCCCTGAAGAACCTAAATTGTAATTTTTGTAACATCCCAGATAAACCAAAAGGGAACAAATAAAATAATCCAAACATGCAAACACGCAATAAAAAGTAAAAACACTTCAAAATATCTAAAAGAGACCAGTGTCACTGGGTCGACGACATCCCAGAAAAAAGCATGGAAGACGGTCGAACTCCGCATATATATGCTCAGTCTTAGATCTATACAAAAATAAAAAACTTGAATTGAAGGTACGGGACCCGAGTTGCTTCTCCTGGTCCCCCTCACGTGGTTTGATGCGTTATTCACAACAAAACACATGCTCGTACCTTATTTTTTATATAGACTCGGCTTAGGAATTCTATCAAATACATTTGAAAGAGAAAATAAAGGCTCAACCTGCACGAAAAACAACGTTAGCGGGAAAGTCAACAAATATGCAACGTATAATAAGTCGCGTCTTTACATCAAGGAAGTTAAATAACACCTGCAAGCAAAAGGTTAGTACATATTATTACGTGCTCCCCCTTAATAATACATGTGTGTGTGTGTATGTATAAACATGACTCCCTGCAGAAGAACACCCTAATATACTACAATGCATATCAAGCATGCAAGCACATAAAAAAACATAAAATGTGATGTATGGTTAGGGCAACTAAATCAACAGAGAACTATTTTCAAAACATCGAGAAAGACTACTTAGCATCTTAAATTCTAGCCTAGCACACAATCTAGCAAAAAGTACCCTAATTAACATCTAAGTGCTCAGAGTAAGTTTCCGCGTACGTATAAATTTGATGGGGCCGCCACACTGACCTGTCTTAAAGATCAAAGGGATCTAAAAAGTGTCACCCAGGATGAATTTTTTAAAATAGTTGGCTTTATATATGGTCTAGCTTGCTACTTGCATAATTTTAAAATTATGACGAGCGTAACAAGTAGAAAAATATATTTTCTTAGTTTTTTTTTTAAACAAAGCCATTAAATGCGAACTCGTAATATGCAAGGTCATATGAGTTAGATCCATTGGATCCTCAGCACAGTGATACCCGTGTCAATCCTGATGTTTTAACTCGCATTACCCACCAGTGTCTACCTAGCAAGCAATGCTCGTTAAGACAACGCGACCAACATGGGGTCACTCATTTATCAAGTCTGGCTCACCATCCATACACACATACAAATGCAAATGTAAATAGTTATGTGATAGAAGTAGTGAGGAGCGTGTCGTGGAGGCAGTGAATCAGGAGCGGGCGTGTCGTGGAGGCAGAAAACCATAGGAATGGTGTGTCATGGACGTAGTGACCCAAAAGGGTGTGCCTATCGTGTGGTAGTTGATGCGGGCCTAGTGTGTGCAACTTTTCTATAGATTCAAACTTCTATGGTTAATTTGCCAATAATTCTACTTTTGTAATCCCAAAATGCGCTTCCAATATTTTATATTCACTAGGTTGTAAACATAAGTATACGCATCGCTCAAGTAATATAGAGCTCTAATGGAGTCCCAAGTATTGATCCCATTGGGAGAAGGTTAAACTCTTACTTAATTAAAATGACATAAATTAAAAGGACATAAATAAATAGTATAAGAACTACAACAGTTAAAGATAAATGTGAAATGCACGTCTAACGAAACTAAATATACTATGCTAATTTTGCAAACTTAAAAGTTAAATCTACTATAAGCAGACAAAGTAATTTTAACAAAGGTTTGAAATTTAAGAAAAATATATTTCCCATTTACAATAAGGTTGTAGCTAGTGAATAATTAAATCTATTATTAATTGCATTTGACAAATATGAGCAATGATATCCTTTAATCCTCTGGTTAGGTGATAAAAAACATTGGCTAATTTAGATGTTTTGAATACACAGCCGTGGTTAGGCTGAGAGGATATTGACTCTCACTCTAGAGCTCCCACTTCTCCCCCACTTGAGGGCTAACAATCTCACATTATGGTTTCTAAACATCTGAACCAAATTATTGATTTTAGTATGTCACCCCAAAATCACCAATTTAACACCCATCAAATAATATTTCCCTATTTATTTGCACTCAATCTCATGGAGACTTCACTCTTCCATGAAATTAAAGTGTGATCCCTACTTGAATGCTGAAAACATGACCTTCCCGACTCTTGTGTTTTTGAGTAGATTTTAACAAATCAATTGGCCATATTGAAAAGTAAATGAATATCAAGATGAATCATCACAATTTAAGAAATTAAGATCATTTTCAAACAACTATTGATTCTTCACATTACTACTTCTTATTGTAAAGGGAAAGACAAATCAACTACTCAGAATTCATGGAGATAATACAACTTAACTCAATCACCTCCCCAATCAAATCCCTTGAAGTTCCTTTGAATCACTTCCTTCTACTTATACTGATTTGCTCCCCTCTCTAAGGATTGTAATGAAGAAGAAATCTCTCACATTCTCTCTCTTCTTACAACTCTTAAAGAAGAATCTCCTTAAATCTCTCAAAAGAAAAACTAAGTAGGGAAGTTTTGCTCTCTTTTCTTTTCCTTTTCTCCTCCTTCACCGACCATTTTCTGTCAAAAATGGTGGTTAAATAATGTGTGTCTGAAAAGTCAAGAGTTCCCTTAAGCACCCCTTCAAAATTCGTCCAAATTCAATGCATTTTGAGATAACCGTCTTGGTGCCATTTTGGGACTGGTCGTGCTCCACAAAGGTGTTTTGGCACCATTCGGCGCCAGAGCATTTCTTTGCCTTTTTTGCTATAAATTTCATCTTTTTTGCTCCTTTTTAATCTAAATCCCCAAATTGAGTATACCTGCATAAAAAATATGAAAATGTCATCCTTTAAAGTACAATTTTACCAAAAATGACCAAATATAGGCATTCAAAATATATAAAAAGACGAACATTTTTTTGGTGTATCAGTAGCGACCTGAGGAATGGTTATGTCGTGGAGGTACTGACCCGAATGGACGTTCGTGTCGGGAAGGCAGTGGCCCAGGGAATGAGTATGTCGTGGAGACAGTGATCTTAAAAGATGGGCGTGACGTGGAGGTTGTGACTCGGAAGGGTGGGCGTACTGTGGAGGCAACGAATCAAAGGATTTGGTGTGGCGTAGAGACAGTGACTCAAAATCGTGGGCGTGTCATAGATGTAGCGACTCAAAGAATGGGTGTGTCATGGTGGCAGTGACCCAGAAGATGGGCTTGTTGTGGAGAAAACGACTCAAAGAATGGGTGTGCCATGAAGATAGTGACCTAAAATGACGGGCATGCCTCGGAGGTAGTGGCCCAAAGAGTTGGTGTGTCGTGGAGGCAACAACCTAAGAAATGATAATTCTCATTGGAAAGAATCATACAAGTGGGGTGAGTGTATGAACATACACTCAAAATGCGACTCAAGCATGTGATAAAGATTATTCAAGATGTCATGCAAGACATACAGCATAAAAGCTATTATGTTCAGTCGCCTAGGGTGTAGGATGTCATTAGGGAGAATTCCACCTTGCTCCAATAATGAGCAAACACACATGCAAATGGCGAGCACATACATGGTATAGTGCATCATGCAAGCAAGTAAACGAACCCAATGCACATGTGAAACATATAGTATGCAAGTGATCGGTCGACCGGACCAAGACGGTAGGTCGGGCTAAGGCAATTGGTGGGCTGAGTTGAGGCGGCTGATAGGACCAAAGTAATCGGTCAACCAGGTTGAGATGGACGATCAAACCCAAATGATTGGTGGACCGAAGCTGGCTGGTTGACGCATGTTGTGATTGGTCGATCGAGTCGGGTGACTAGTCAAAACTAAGTGATCGGTCGACCGGGAAAGGGCAGCCGGTCAGACCTAAGTGGTCCATCGACCTGACCGTGGTGGCTTGTAGGATCCAGTTGATCGGTTGATTTGGCTGAGGCGGCCGATCAAGGAAAATGTGCTATGTCGATCGGGTCGGGGTGGCCAATCACGACAACGTGTTATGCCGATCGGACCGGGGTGGCCGATCGAGGAAATCACAACATGCCTCAAGCAAGACCCTGTTTTTAGAAGATTTGACGAATTTGTACGTTTTTTGAAGAGTTTATGGATGCACCTATTGGAGAACCGATCCTAGGCTCTATTTAGAGCTGAATCTATTTAGACCTAGGCTCTATTTAGAGCTGAAATTGATCAGAAAAGACCCTTCGCACCTCTTCGCTCTCCTCCGCTCGCTCTTGGTTTTTCTTCGCCCCTTTTCGTGCCACTTTACTTCATTCCAAGCCATTCCACACCATTAGTCATTTATTTTCTTTATAGTTTTGAGTTTTTATGGTGAGTTTAAGTGCGAATTACTCTCTAAGAAGTGTTGGAGAGGGAGAGAAGTGAGAGATTTCTTAGTCCAACATTTCCTAAGAGAGACTACAAAAAATTTTCTTTGAGAAAGAATTTCAAATAAGTGTTGGTTTGTTTATTATTGTTGTATGAACTTCCTTTTATATATGAACTTTGTGTTTTGTTGTATATTCCTCATGAAGTCTGAGTAGTTTTCTTTATTTTTCTCTCTATTATGAGATATAGTGAAATGAAGAGATAATTTGGATGTGTCAATGTTAAAATTTAAAATAATTTGTGATGATTTTTCAACTCCGCTCTTAATTTACTTTTCGATCTGACCAATTGAATTATTAAAATATGTTGTGAAACCTATGATCCGGGAAATATGATCCGGGAAATGGAGAATGAGTTATACAACAGAGTGAGAATCATATTTAAGTCCATTAGTTTAAACCCAAGAAGGTGTGAATTTAGGGATTTGTTAAATAGGAAGTCCATTAGTTATGTTGGCTAAGTGATATGTGTCAGGTTGGAGATGTTAATTCTTGTCAATTAAGGATGAGTTCAAGGAGAAATTGAGAGGAGTATGAAAAAGGGAAGGATTAATCACATCAGATAAATAAAAGTCAACCAAAACCCCATAATAAAAGATTAGCAATAGAGTTTTCATTCATATTGCACACATTCAACTAATATTGCATTTCTTAGATGAATAAAAAAAAGCACTTGAGTGGCCTATTATTAGTGGGCAGTGCAAATATGTAAACACAACATGAGGTGTCCATGGATTAATGAGGAGATTCTGGAAAGGGAGTGTAATGAAAAAATAAACTCCATGCTTAGATTTGAACTCCTGATTTTTTCTGTTTTCAGAATTTCCATAAAGAAATTTCATGTCTCATACAAGCTGCATTTAACTTTTCAATTCTATCTTTGTTTCACATCTTCATATAAGCCCAGAGAAAGTTCTGGCAACTTCAATGCCCAATAAATTATTTTGAGATCCAATTTTCTTCAATGCAAAATTGGAACTAAGAGCACTAACAAAGTTGGCAATAGCAAATAAAAAATTGCCATTGATAATAATATAATTAATATAATTGAGAAGGTGTAGAGTAATATAATAATAATAATAATAATAATAAGAGGTCTTAGATTTTTCAAAATCTAATTAAAACAAAAGGATGATTTACATACATACCACTAAATTTCTATGTATTTACATATCTTATGCTAAGCTTCAATTTTTACTTACATACCAATACATGAAAGATATATTGCACTTTTTGAAAGTTAAACTGGTGATATTTTTGATGTGATATGAAAGTACCAATACAAAAAGTAATATTTAGGCATTAGATATGAAAATACACAAGAACTCAGTGGTATGTATGCAAATGCTCCAAAGAAAAAGACAAAAAGAATTTGGGAACATTTACACAAATCCATTGTAGCAAGTAACTATGTAAAAGAATTAAAACTTTTTTTTTTTAGACATTAGAAAGGAAGTGCTGTTAGTAGCAATTTTGGCCATTGAAGATATGACAAAAAGAAATTATGGGGGCTCATACTCAAAATATCAAGACATGTTAGAAATCTATGACAGCATAATAGGTGTTCAAACATTTTACACAGAAGCCAGCTTAACTTGAAGCCCAAAATTCCAAACAAGCATACAACTCCATTTATCTACAATCTCATCAGTGATCTGTTGAAGAAAAAAAATACATCACACAATGCCTCCAAAAAACTGCCCTTATCAGAGCCTTTAAAAGTGAATTCCATTGACCCCCACATTCAATTCAGCAGCGGGCATGGTGAAATGTGATGATTAGATTCTCTTCTCTACCCACATGTAGAAGTTTGTGATCCAACATCTGACCTCTGATCGCGATCAGCTGTCGCCTGGATCTGTGCGGCATACTGCAAGTTCCAGAGAACATCCTCAATGGAAGGTCGTGATGAAGTTTCGAGAGACAAGCACTTGCTTGTTAGAGAAACCACAGTCGACAAGGATTCCTGCGAAGAAGTTCCGATGACTATGGGATCGATGATTCGCTTTTGCTCCTCCTGACTACTGAATGACATAGCCTGTCGAAAGAAATGTGTAGCATGTTAGTGGAATCAGAACGATCCTTCCTTATCACTAAGATAAAGCATTGAGATTTATGTAGGATACATAGTCTATCTCTTGGAAGAAAATCAATTACATGAGCTAAACTTTGTAGTGTGTGCTGGCAATATGACTGCAACAATGAAGAAGCGAATGACAACAAAATGGTAATAAGAAAAAGGGGCATTTAAATACATAGCACCAAGTTCCTATTTATTGCCATATCTGACACCCAAACATTATTTTTCATATTTTTCATATTTATACCACCAAAGGAGGCTGACAGAAGCGGCAATGCATCAGCCATGGTTGACAGGCAAATATATTTTTACTTTATTATATGTTGAAATAGAATTTGAGTATTTGATTCTTGTGAGGGACATATGAATCACAATAATGGCCACTTTTCTTCTATTTTTTCACCATGGTTGAGTAATAAATTTTCAATGAAAAACAAACACCCATATGAGATGACGAAGTACATTTACATGTACAAGTTGGGTATTATAGCATGTGTTCAAGGAAAAGTGATAAATTTAACTGAAGGTGGTTGTCTAACTTTTACCACATAATAACGGCTCTGTCTAGTACTGCTAGTACCAAGAGATTAAATTCAAAATAATAAATCAGGTATGATCACTGGCAATACACCCAAGCATACTTAACTTAATTAAATAATTAGAAGTGCCACGAAAATAAAGCCATCATAAAGTTGGAGATAGTCCATTTCAAGTGGTTGCATGCTAGGATGCTAAATAGTTAAATAGATACAATAATAGGGAATTATCTGTAAGAATCTAGTGTGGTTGCATGATTAGGTGTGAAATGGAGGAATTGAATTCATAAAAAAAGGTCAATAACAAAGATGACTATGAGATAATATGGTTGCATCTTTGGTTCTTATGGTGCTATTGATTTGATTCCACTAAGATAGGAGCTATGACAGTTATTTCTTATTATTGTGTGGGTTGCGTTTTAAGGGAAACTTTCGCGTAAATATCAAAGTCTATAATCATAAGAATTCAAAATGTGTTAAGATGAACAACAAGAACATTGAAGTTTTAATTTGATTTTATGTTATTTTAATGAGTTTTGAATTTCAGAAGAAACTTTTTGTATATGCCCGAGATATCATTCTATCTAGAAAGTTTGATCAATATTGAAAATTTTGGATGAGCTTTTGTTTCTTATACACTACAACCCTAAAACCCTAAAATCATAAAACCTAAACCCTAAGCCCATCCAAAATAGCTGGGGCAGGGGAAGGAGGTTAGGGTGTGATTTTCGGTAATCATTCAAGTAGTGGTCCTCGAATTTGGAGGAAAGAGAGAAACACATTCATTATTGCATGCTCTCTCTCTCTCTCTCTCTCTCTCAGGTAGTCCAAGTCGTGCCATGGATCAACATATTCTTCACTTTTTTCTCTAGAAAAATAAGTCCTCCCTAGGTGGTGTGAATCCACAAATATTTCAAGATCCAACACTATAATTTAAACATAGACCTTAATATTAGGGTTAGTTGATAAAATAACAAGAGTGCAATTTAAACAAAATCATTTTAACTATAATTCTAAGTAATTTCAATATTATTAGGAAGTCAAGAATTATATTCCCATAGTTCATGAGAGATACATTGAGGCAATTTCAAATTTGATAGATAACTTAGAAACTTATTTGAAATATATAACACACTCAATTTCTAATAGTTGCATTTGCTTGAAAAAAAATAATAATATAAATTACTCGAATCTTTTGAAGAAGTTTTGCTCTTAAAGCAAGATCTACTTGAGTTGATATGAATAGAATTCGTTCTTTGATTATATAATTAAATGTATGATCAATTTAAAACAAAATGAAGTAACAATAAAATGTTTAAATATTTACTTGCTTCGAAGGTATGTTAGCCAAAAAAATATTTATCAAGGAATTAAATCATTATCAATATCAATTTTATTAAAAAAAATTAATTAATAAGTTAAGCATGAGTTAAGATACAATTTAGCAAAAAAAATAAATGTGACATTTAAACAATAAAAAATTTATGGATCGTAAATCTATTGACCTTTATGAATTCACATAAAAAACACACTATATTTAATACCCTTTACTGTAGTGTAAAATTTGTTTTTACTCCTGCATTTTTCATGGATCTATACTTGGAAAGCCTGAAGGCTTATTTTTGTAAAATGGGTTCAAAAAGAACATGCACCTTTTTTTAATCTCACTGGATTCCATTGTTTTGAAATTCATTTTCGAATGACATGGAAATTTCCTATTTAGTACTTTTTATATAAGATCTATATGTCACACACATTACTTGCTGAGGGGAATAGGAGATTTTTTTCTTCTTGATTAATAAATGAGCAAATGACCTAATAAGCATAAAAAAGGATTAAAAAAAACAATTACTTGGATATAATATTCTCAATCGTAAGAGTATCTTTATAATATAATCACCTTACAATATCAATAGTCCTTGATAATAAATCATAATACTAAATATGGTAACACTCTCCATTAAGCAAAATTTATATACCAATAAGCTCCAACTTGCTATATAAGTAAGAAAAAAAAGTAAAGTATTCTAGAGCTTTGGCAAAGACATTTGCTACTTATTTTAAATTGAAGAGACGAGTGAGTAACAGTTCCATAAAAGTGTTTGTTGGTGGTACAAGGGGCGAGGAATGAGAGAGAAGTATGAAGCTCGAGTGTAAATCCTCTTAATCAAAAGTTGAGGTGGTGGGACACAAGTAATTTTAACATTGATGGCGTGTTGATTAAGTTAAGGGGCACAATGGGCTTGGGGATTTAGTAGTTTGGTATTGGGTTATAGTTTGGGTTATTATTGTTTCATGCAATAGAAGATTTAAGTCTATTCAATAGCCAAATGAGAATGACAGTCATATAGTTGCCATTTGGAGAATTTCACAGTATCATCATTAGCATGAGAAGATGTATCAAGGAGAGAGTTTGTTGTGAACCAATTTAAAAAAAAAATGAAAGGCCCTCAATCATAAGTACTTGAAACCATAGACCTTAATTAAGGTGTCAACGAGGTGGGAATACTTGTTGAGAATAAATACACACCATAAAGCGAAGGTTCTGTGGAGTCATATATATGCCATAGCATAACTCATTCTATTTTAAAATAATATAAAATTTTAAGGCATTAAGAATAATATAAGAGAAAAAATATCCTAATATAAAAGTGCACTATTAATGCCATATAAATGGAAGGTATTATTGATTTAACATGTGTGAATATTAAGGAAAGGCACAAATATTTCATGCCAAATTATTTTATAAAATTTGAGCTAAAATTTACTATTTTCTATTTTTCTTTTATGTATCTCAAGAATGTAGTAATATGTCCTATAACAAAATGACCATTTACAAATTTAACAATATAAATAGCAACCATGAAATAAAATTTAAAGCAGCAAAATATAACACAATATTGCCAGTAATCAATCAAATTAGATCAAGCAAAACTAAGCACTAAAGAAACAAAAATTAAATTGTGAGGAAGAAAATTTATAAAATATTAAGAAGAAAAGAACATGGATAACTAATTGATGGATAGAACAGAGTGAACAAAAATCAATGACAAAAAAGCACGAGATACAAGCACTATAGCACAACCATTTCTTATATTGTCCTCACCATATTACTATCTCGTGTCTTTGTTATGTAAATAGCACAGGATGTGCACTACGATTTAATATGGTCTATAGAAAGTGCTATTTTATGCAATTGATATGTATAAGTGGAGGGAGTTTCTCGTCAAGTAGAGAGATGTAGAGACCAAGATACCATGTAAACAGATAATGAAGAAGAAAAGTTAGTCTTCATATTGTTGAGGAGAAAACCCTTCAAACAACAAGCAGTGATTAATAGGAAAGATGAAGGGCTAGAGTGGCATTTATAGGTGGTTAGGAAACCAAAAGCAAAGCAAAAATAGAGTTAAGATGTAGAGCAGCAAGCAGATACGTATCAGTAATTGAAGTAGGGAGCAATAGCGCAGCAGGAAGTGATAAGAGAAGCATGGAGCAATGTGAAGCAAGTGCCGCGGGCAACATGGGCTGATGTACCAACCGCGGGCTGATGTACCATGCAAAAGCGAGGCTCATGAGTGGGCGTGCAGTGCAGGCTAGCTAGTGATTCAACAGAGCAATGAGGACTGAGTTGCATGCATGCGCATGATGTAGACCGGTGAACATTAAGAGTCAGTGACCCAAGTTCTAAAATGTCACGACCCAGGCTGGGGCTTAGAATTAACCAAGACGGGAACGAACGATTGGATGGTGAAAATCAATTCTACGTTATTTTAGTTCTATTACCAACAGTTTAATAATCAAATACTACACCTAAAATTCTTCATAAGATTAGTCATGATATAGGCATGTTAAATGTTGTTTTAATACTTGCATAATAGTTTAGTTTACGAAGATATCAGATTACTGTACGATCTATATATTATCATTGTATGGCTAGAAATATATGTCAGATTGTGATTTGACCTTTATAACTAGAGTAAAGGTGGTTCTTTTAGATTATCATATGACATTAGATTTTAGCAGAGTTGCATGATTTTTAGTAAATAAATACAAGTCTCACATAAAAGTAATGTATGCTTTAAAATATGAAACGAAAATATGATATACATGAATGCTTGTATATATATGTTCACTATTTAGTACTTCTTATA